TATCGTTGGCCGGATCGTCTCCTTCCTCTGCTCTGCTTCCCGGCGCCGCCAAAGAAGGCCGATCCTTCCGGCAACGGTTGGGTTTCCGCCCAACTGCCGACGCTCGGCATTCCCGTCGAAGCGCCGCTGACGCTCGGCATTCCTGCTGAAGCGCTGCTAATGCTCGACATTTCTGCCGAGAGCCGCTGACGCTCGGCATTCTCGCTGACGTGCCGCTGACGCTCGGCCTTCCTGCCGAAGTGCCGCCGCCACGCACGCCACGCGGCTTGCTGCGTGCGCCCGCTAGCATTCCCTTCGGCCCACCAGTGCGCCCACACCTGCGCTGACCGTGCCATGCCTTATGACGACGACTACGGCGACTTCTTGACGAGGACCGACTGTCGACGCTGAGCATCGCTCTTCCCTGGACGTCTCTACTTACGTCGAGCCTCCGCTCTGTCACGACCCGCCGGGCTATGCAGCCCCGAAGGTTAGCTCTATACCTCTTCCTCTTAAGTTCAATTATCCATCGGTTTTCTCGGCTCGTTTCCACTGCCACTAGGAGAACGTAGATAGGATGGGACGGGTTATCGGGTTGTGACTTCCGACGCTGCGCCAAACTTGTCACCGCTCGTGAGCTGCAGCCCTAGGCTACTTCACGACGACCGTTCTGCCGTCTGTCCAGACGTGGACTGAGAGGGCCTCATACTTATCATTGTCAAGTGTTTCCTCGGGTTGTCCTGAGTTGATAGTGCATATTGGTACGCCTGCCTGTACTTAGGTTACGTGGTCAGACCTAGAGTCTAGGGTCCATACATTCTTATTGGATCTCCTTTTCACTACTCCATCCTGAGTCTTGAGTTTCATTGATCAGGTACAAGGGTTCTCGCCCCGTTCTGCATCACATTCTTATCGAATTGGTCCGACTGCCCTATCCTAGGTCTTGAGTTTCATTGATCAAGTACAAGGGTTCTTGCCCCATCCTGCATCAAATTGGTATCAGAGCCAGGTTGAGTTATCACCTAACCTCGATCCCCTGAGGATACTCACCGAGCTTCCATACCATTAGTAGACCATTCATACTTGATGTGAAAATTTGATTGATCATTTGAGTTTAATGGAGATTTTTGTACCCTGATCTATAGGACTTGTGAGGAGAAATCACTTATTTCGAAAAAAAAAAGAGAGAGCAATGTGAAAAATCTAGAAACGAAGAGTACACATGGAGGATGTGAGAGATCATTCTCATTGTCGAAAATTGTGTATAGAAAAACACTTGCTGCAAAATAAGTGGATAAAGTGAAAGCCTTGAAAATGAAGAGTACACATGGAGGGTGTGAGACATCATTCTTATTGTCGAAATTTATCTACAGGAAAAGCTACTTATCCACTATATATAAAGAAAGAAGAAATATAGTGCAAACTTCAAAAATCAAGCCATAGAAAAAGGGAAATGTAGGATCAATATTATTCTTGGATGAGTATTGATAATTGGAACATCTTGTAAATACATCTATGAGTGAAGAAGTGATAAAGATGTGAATAGAAGAAGTGAAGTCTAGATTGTTATTCCAAGGAGTGCTTAAACATTTAAGTGCTTGACATCATTCTTAAATACTTGATATAAGAATCCAAAGTATCTAAAGGTGCATCATTTCTAATTGTATTTTTTTTCTTTCTGTATTGAAATATGATGTTTGAGATTTTTAAATTTTTATTTTCGTAATTCCATTGCTAAGGGACTAGCAATGATTTAACTTAGGGGGTGTGATAAGTCTTCATTATCATGAGTTAATAATTAGTAAATAATATAGTTTTAGCCTTAACTCATGATAAATAGACTTATATTTGTGTTAAAGTGTGAAAAGTGGTTTTCAATTGATTAATGTGAATTTTTAGGTAATTATGTGACTTTACATGAATTTATATGATTTTTACAGTCTTGCTTTTGAGATAAATGAAGAAAAAGAAATAAAAATAAGACAAAATGAGGGGGGGACCCACCCGCCGGCCAGCTGGGCCTGCAAGCGGGTCGAAAGCTCAGTCGGGGAGTAGCCGCGAGCAGCTGTGAGTAGGGGCTTGAGCGGCTTGGACCGATAGGGGCACGTGTGCGTCACTCCCCTTCCACGTCACCGGTGGCCAGCCGGCTGTGGGGCAATGAGTGGTCGTACACGCGAGAGAAGGAACTTTGCTTAGAAAGCTAACATTACTATATATTCGCCCGAAAAATCGGCGTGCAACCGATGTGGGACTAAACCCGCGTCACACATTCCTCAGAAGGGGCGGACAACCGGCGCGGGTTCGAATCCTCCCAAAGTCAAAATTCATATATTTTTATCTGATTATCGCGACTTTCCTGCAGATCGCCGGTGAAGGATTAAGCAAAGAGAATCGCTAGATCATCGGCGAAAATCTCGTCAACGCGATTCGCAAAGCATTGCTACTAAAATTTCTGAACGATTTGCGATAAAAGGATTGCAAATCCATCAAGTAAATCATCTCTGATTGATCGACGAACAAGTCGTCATCGGGAAGAGGACGATCCGCTGGGAGACGAGTCGCCACCTCCTAAGAGCGTACCAGATGCGATGAAGAGCCTCCTCTTGCTGCGCGGACCTGAGGATGAAGTTCCCTGACACGCGCCCCACCTCCATCCAGCTCTTTTATGTCGGGTGACAGCTGCCGGAGAGCTGCAAAGTCGCCGTTTTTCCGCTCTGCCGGGTGACAGCCGTCGGAGACGACTCGACGACCCATTTCATTAATCTCTAGACTTTGCGAGAAGGTCTAGAGATTGCCCATGTCGTCCTTGTCCAAGGAGAGCCTTCGAGGCCGTGGACACTGCACGACAATCCTCCCGAACACTCAGAATTCCGGTGCATCGCCGACGCATTGCCGTCGTGACGCCGGAACTCTATTTTCCTGCTGTCAACTTACTTTACACTTCATTTAGTGATATTTTTTGTGATTTTAATTTACCAAAATATACTTTGTTCTATTATGATTCTTCTAGCTTTTATAGATCTTAATTTAATTAATTAAATTGTCTGTAATCACTTACGTAAGAATCGTCGAGCAGAACTCTGTTTCCGCTCGATTCACCTTCGTCGGGTGCTGACATCATCCTGACGTCCGCACCCTTATTTCTCTTTTTTCGTGAATTTTAAATATATTTCTTTTTCATTTCCTAGTATACAATTCATAGAAAATCGTATTCATTGAGAAAAATTCTGAATAATTACCATATATTATATTACATCCATGTGATCGACCTGGAAAATTACCGCTATTTTTGGAAGTTTTATTGAATTATAATTGATATATTTATTCAGAAATACTTCTAAATATCCAAAAATTCGTGTTTTCAAGTTTTATAAATTTTATATTTGCGTGATTTAATATACAACGACTAGGTCACGTCAAATTTTGGTGCCGTTGCCGGGGAATGTATTGCATAATATTTAGTATTATTCTGTTTTTCTCTTAGAGTACACAAAAAAAAATTTAACTCTTGTTTTATTTTCTTTTTGCCGATTTTTTTTAGAAAAAGGGAACAAAAAGAAGCAAGGCAAGGACTAGAGCATCCTGAAGGAGGGTAACAATTACTAAATTTTTTCCTCGAATTTATTGATTTTTATGCATGGTAGAAGATCCTTGCATCCAAGGTTAGAAAATCCTTTCATTATTTCATTCAAAAATAAAAATCCGAAAGAAAAATTAATTTTGATGGATCCTGAAGGAAGTACAGGTCAAACTGAGAACAATCCTATGGCCATGAAAAATTATTATATCCTTGATTCATTTCAAAGAGCATCAAATATTAGAGTCCCATTAGCACCCACTATTAAATTTGAAATAAATCTAGGAATTTTTCAAATGCTCCCTAATTTTCATGGATTGCCTTTAGAGGAACCTCATTAGCACTTAGAAAAATTTCATATGGTCTGTGATTCAGTTAATCTCCCTCAAGTTACACCGGAAATTATTAAGATGAAATTATTCCCTCATATACTTAGGGACAAAGCTAGTCATTGGCTATTCACATTAGATAGAGAATTAACTAACTAGAAAGATATAGAATAAGCCTTTCTTCGAAAATTTTATCCCTTAGGAAAAACTCAAAATATGAGAAAACATATATGGAGTTTTTCTTAAAAACCAGGAGAAACTTTGCATGAGACATGGGAAAAATTCAAAGATTTACTTAGAAAGTGTCCTCATCATGCTATACCCAAGTGGCAACTCAGTAGAATTTTTTATGATAGATTATTAGAACAACATAGAAATATGATTGATTCTATATGTGGAAGAGCTTTTATGAAGAAAACTCCTGATGAGATTTAGTCTTTATGAGAATTTAAGTAAAAATTCTAAAGATCAAGCCTCTTTTGAATTATATGACAGAGATAAGAAGAGAGGAATTTACGAATTGCATCATGATGATGATTCTAAACTTAGAAATGAGGTTAATCAGATTAATCAAAGATTAGAAAAAATTGATTTACTTATTGACAATATTAGAAAGCCTTTTAACCCTCAACTTAATTCGAATAGTACATGTCCTATGTATGGTGAAAATGATTATTCTGAATTTCAATGTTATAATTTAGATCAATCATTTCACCCTATGCAAGAACAAGTGTAAGTAGCTCAGTTTTAATAGAAACAGGGAACCTTTTTCAAATTCTTATAATCCTAATTGGAGAAATAATTTTTCATGAAGAGACCCAAATAATATTCAAAATCCAGAAGCACTTAGACCCAATTCAAACTCTGAATTTTGTCCAAAATAAGAAAACAGATTTCAGAAAAATCAGCCCTCTCAAATCCAACCTGATGCTATGGAAATGATGCAGCAAATGAGCCAAATGATGCAACAAACTATGAATCAAATGATGCTGTACCAGAAACAAATTATAGAGGCTCTTGGGAATAAGAGAGAAGAGGGACAGCTACCTAGTCAGCCCATAGAAAATCCAGGGAACCGCCCAACAATAGGATTTTAGCAAGGGGAGTCTAGTAGCATGAATCTAGGAAAAAACCCACGAAATAAAAATGTTAGGATAGTGAATGCATTAAGGAGTGGTAAGATCTTACCTGATCCTTATCCCCAAATATTAGAAGAAAAAGAAAACGTGGACAAACCAAAACAAAATCAAATAGGAGTAGAAGAGGATTTTATAGATTCTACCCAAGAAATTTCGAAAGAGAGGACGACCATTCCATTTCCTAAAGCTCTAGAGCCTAGACAAAGAAAGAAAAAGGAACACAATGAAGAAATAAAGAAAATTTTACAAGATGTGCAAATTAGTCTTCCTTTACTCACTGCCATTGAACATATTCCTGAATATGCTAGAGTTTTGAAAGAAATGTGTACACCAAAAAGGGCACCTAGAGTAGAAAAATTATCTATGCATGCTAGTGCATTATTATTAAATCAATTACCATATAAATTGAGAGATACAAGTGCCCCTTTAATTTCGTGTGATATTGGTGGATTCATTTTTCAGAATGTATTACTTGACACCGGTGCTAGTATTAATTTATTACCTACAAGTATTTGTGATAAATTTAATATTTCTGATCTTAAACCATCTACTGTTACCTTACAATTTGCTGATAGATCCATAAAACATCCTAAAGGTATTTTAGAAAATGTGATGGTGACAGTTAAAGGGTGTAAATTTTTAGCTGATTTTGTAGTGCTGGAAATGGATTTTAATGGACAGTTTTATGATATGCCAATCATCCTAGGGAGACCATTTTTGCATACAGCAAAGATGAATATTGATTTTCCCATAGGTATTGCGAAAATTTCATGTGGAGATCAATCAGTAGAAATTAAAATTTTTGAGGTACCAAATGATCTTAAGAAATCACAAGTATATGATTGTCATACCATAAATCTTCTAGATGATTTTGATGATCCAGATGTTATTGATGACTGTGTGCTGAAAGAATTAGAGGAAATAGAGAATATAAATTTGGGAGAAAAGAAAGAGGAAGATCATCTGAATTTAGAGTTGAAACCTCTTCCCTCTAGTTTAAAATATATGTTTTTGGAGGAAAATAATTCATTTCCTGTTATTATTACAGCTGATTTGAGTGATGAACATGAAGAAGAATTATTAGATGTACTTCGAAAAATTAAGAAGGCTATGGGCTGGAAAATGGACGATCTAAAGGGCATTGATATGAGTGTATGCATGCATAGTATATATCTAGAGGAGGGGGCCAGAACTAGCAGGGAACCACAACGAAGATTAAATCCTAACATGATGGAAATTATAAAAAAAGAAATTTTAAAGTGGCTGGCTGCTGATATTATTTATCCTATTTTAGATAGCAAATGGGTTAGTCCTACACAAGTAGTGCCAAAAAAATCAGGGATCACGGTTATAAAAAATGAAAATGGGGATGAAATACAAACAAGATTAACTACCGGTTGGAGGGTTTGCATTGATTATAGAAATTTAAATTCAGTTACTAGAAAAGATCATTTTCCCCTACCATTTACTGATCAAATTCTAGAAAAATTAGCTGGAAAAAACTTTTTTGTTTTCTAGATGGATACTCTGGTTATAATCAAATTTATATAAACCCTTTAGATCAAGAAAAAGCAACTTTCACTTGTCCATTTGGTACTTTTGCTTTTAAATGCATGCCTTTTGGTCTGTGTAATGCTCCAACCACATTTCAAAGATGTATGCTGTCTATTTTTTCTGATATGATTGGAAAATGCATGGAAATTTTTATGGACGATTTTTCTGTTTTTGGTGAATCATTTGATGAATGCTTAAATCATTTACAGCATGTACTTGAGAAATGCATAGAGAAAAAATTAGTTTTGAGTTGGGAGAAATCACATTTTATGTTTAAAGAGGGAGTTGTGTTGGGTCATATTGTGACTAAAAGGGGTTTAGAGGTGGATAGAGCAAAAATTAATATTATATCTAAAATGAAACCTCCAAATTCAGTAAAACAGATTAGATCTTTCTTTGGTCATGCAGGTTATTACAGAAAATTTATTCAAGATTTTTCAAAAATTTCTAAACCTCTCACCATGCTATTATCTAAAGATGTACCTTTTAATTTTGATGAGAAATGTTTTGAGTCTTTTTCCGAAATAAAAAGATTACTTACTGAGGCACCCATTTTACAAGCTCCTGATTGGTCCCTTCCCTTTGAAATAATGTGTGATGCATCAAATTATGCAGTGGGGGCCGTTCTAGGACAAACAAAAGAGTCAAAACCCATAGTAATTTCATATGCTAGTAAAACTATATCCGATGCTCAATTAAATTATACCACGACTGAAAAAGAGTTGTTAGCTGTAGTATTTTTGTTAGAAAGGTTTAGATCATATATTTTGGGAGCTAAAATTATTATTTATACTGATCATGCAGCATTAAAATATCTGTTAAATAAGAAAGATGCAAAGCCACGTTTATTAAGATGGATTTTATTATTGCAGGAATTTGACTTAGAAATAAAAGATAAAAAAGGTTTCGAGAATGCTGTTGCTGACCATCTTTCTAGATTAAGTGATACAGGAATAAATGCAGCACCTTTACAAGATGCATTTCCAGATGAACAATTGATGGCAGCTCAACATCAACCATCACCATGGTATGCACATATTGTTAATTTTCTGGTTTCTGAAAAAACTCCAGAATAGTGGGATAAGAATAGAAAACATCATTTCTTTTCTAAGATTAGAAATTATTTTTGACATGATCCTGATTTATATTACTTGGGCAATGATCAAATTTTAAGGAGATGTGTTCTTGAAGAAGAATACCATAGCATTATTAACATGTGCCATTCATCTAACTGTGGAGGACATTTCTCTGGACGAAAAACAGCTGCAAAAAATTTTCAGTGTGGTTTTTATTGGCCTACAATCATTAGAGATTCTATAGAATTTAGTAGAACATGTATTTCATGCCAATCTATAGGTAACATGAGTAAAAAAGATGAAATGCCCATGAGTAACATGTTAGTAGTTGAAATTTTTGATGTATGGGGAATAGATTTCATGGGTCCCTTCCCATCAGCTGAAAAATATGAATATATTTTGCTTGTTGTTGATTACGTGTCGAAGTGGGTGGAAGCTATTCCTACTAGAACTAATGATCATAAAATCGTGATGAAATTTATACAGAAAAATATTTTTTCGAGATTTGGATGTCCTAGAGTGATTATTAGTGATGGAGGAACACATTTTACAAATAAACATTTCAGGGAACTGTTGAAAAAGAATGAAGTACACCATAGAGTAGCCACTCCATATCATCCCCAAATAAATGGACAAGCTGAAGTAGCAAATAGGGAAATTCAGAGAATTTTGAGAAAAATAGTTAGACCAGATAGGAAAGATTGGCCCACAAAATTACAAGATGCATTATGGGCTTATAGAACAGCTTATAAAAATCTCATAGGTATGTCCCCATTTTGTCTCATTTTTGGAAAGCCATGTCATCTTCTTGTGGAAATAGAGCATAAAGCATTATGGGCTATAAAAAATTTATGTATGAATGAAAAATCAGCTGGTGGGCATAGAATTTTTCAGCTACATGAACTAGAGGAGTTGAGGAATGAAGCTTATGAAAATCATAGAATATATAAAGAAAAAACTAAAACTTTTCATGATAAATACATTAGCAGAAAAAAATTAGATGTTGGACAAAAAGTGTGGTTATATGATTCTAGGCTGAAATTATTCCTAGGAAAATTAAAATCAAAATGGAAAGGGCCTTATGTGGTGGAAGAGACATATGATCATGGGGCTGTAATGATTAAAGATCCTAAAAGTGATCATAACTTTAAGGTAAATGGACAGCGGCTTAAACATTACATAGAACATGAACGCCTTGCAGAAAAAGAAATTTTATTATTAAAAGAAATTCAAGAGTAAGATCAAGGAGTCCAGCAGGAGACATTAAATTCAGCGCTGCATGGGAGGCAACCCATGGTTTTTATTTCATTTTGTTTGATTTTTTTAAGCTCTATTTTTCTTAGAATTTTGCAGTACTTGTTTCTGTATTTGTTTTTTCGAAAAAGTGCAAAAGGAGGCATGTAAGACGAAGTGGAAAATTAAAAACGAGGTTGAGGTGATGTCTTTCGGAGCTTTATCATTTATGACAACATTTTTAATGCTAAACTTTGCATATATGCATGCTTCACTTGAAAATTATATTTTCTGCATATTCTATTCCGATTTTTCTGTGTCATTGAAGACAATGTCATTTTTAAGTTGGGGGGTGAAGTATTCATTATTAATTTATGCTGTAGGATGATCAAGAACATATGTTTGCATTTTATTCAACTTAGAACAGCAACTAAAAAAATAAAAAAATAAATAAAATTCGGAAAAACTGTAGCATCTATTTTCTGGTTTTCCGTCAGGAACAACAGACTGTCAAAAACAGCAGACAAAAAAACAACCCAAAATTTGAAATTATAGAGACCCTTTTCTCACATTTCAATCCCCTAGACATATATTACTGAAATTCGAAATTACAGCTATAAAGAAGATAGTTTTGATTTATTTTTGACAAATTTATTGCTGCTAAAATAGAACTGAAAACAAAAAACAGAACTGTCAGAACTATCTAATTTACAAATTTCTTACATCATATTGCATGCATGAAAAATTAAATCAATTAGATTGATTGATACCAAAAGATACTAGGAAGATTATTATTGAGTCAAAAGAATGATCTAGTAGCATGAAATGTTGGAATACTCCTTGGATACATGATAGATAACATGGATTTGATTTTACAGATTTTCACTTCATGATCTTGATGGATAATATTTACTTGATGTGAAAATTTGATTGATCATTTGAGTTTAATGGAGATTTTTGCACCCTGATCTATAGGACTTGTGAGGAGAAATCACTTATTTCGAAAAAAAAAAGAGAGAGCAATGTGAAAAATCTAGAAACGAAGAGTACACATGAAGGATGTGAGAGATCATTCTCATTGTCGAAAATTGTGTATAGAAAAACACTTGCTGCAAAATAAGTGGATAAAGTGAAAGCCTTGAAAATGAAGAGTACACATGGAGGGTGTGAGACATCATTCTTATTGTCGAAATTTATCTACAGGAAAAGCTACTTATCCACTATATATAAAGAAAGAAGAAATATAGTGCAAACTTCAAAAATCAAGTCATAAAAAAAGGGAAATGTAGGATCAATATTATTCTTGGATGAGTATTGATAATTGGAACATCTTGTAAATACATCTATGAGTGAAGAAGTGATAAAGATGTGAATAGAAGAAGTGAAGTTTAGATTGTTATTCCAAGGAGTGTTTAAACATTTAAGTGCTTGACATCATTCTTAAATACTTGATATAAGAATCCAAAGTATCTAAAGGTGCATCATTTCTAATTGTATTTTTTTTCTTTCTGTATTGAAATATGATGTTTGAGATTTTTAAATTTTTATTTTCGTAATTCCATTGCTAAGGGACTAGCAATGATTTAACTTAGGGGGTGTGATAAGTCTTCATTATCATGAGTTAATAATTAGTAAATAATATAGTTTTAGCCTTAACTCATGATAAATAGACTTATATTTGTGTTAAAGTGTGAAAAGTGGTTTTCAATTAATTAATGTGAATTATTAGGTAATTATGTGATTTTACATGAATTTATTTGATTTTTACAGTCTTGCTTTTGAGATAAATGAAGAAAAAGAAATAAAAATAAGACAAAATGAGGGGGGGACCCACCCGCCGGCCAGCCGGGCCCGCAAGCGGGTCGGAAGCTCAGTCGAGGAGTAGCCGCGAGCAGCCCCGAGTAGGGGCTCGAGTGGCTTGGACCGATAGGGGCACGTGTGCGCCACTCCCCTTCCACGTCACCAGTGGCCAGCCGGCTGTGGGGCAATCAGTGGTCGTACACGCGAGAGAATGAACTTTGCTTAGAAAGCTAACATTACTATATATTCGCCCAAAAAATCGGCGCGCAACTGATGTGGGACTAAACCCGCGTCACACCTTCCTCAGCAGGGGCGGACAACCGGCGCGGGTTCGAATCCTCCCAGAGTCAAAATTCATATATTTTTATCTGATTATCGCGACTTTCCTGCAGATCGCCGGTGAAGGATTAAGCAACGAGAATCGCTGGATCATTAGCGAAAATCTCGTCAACGCGATTCGCGGAGCATTGCTACTAAAATTGTTGAACGATTCGCGATAAAAGGATCGCGAATCCATCGAGTAAATCATCTCCGATTGATCGACGAACAAGCCGTCGTCGGGAAGAGGACGATCCGCCGGGAGACGAGTTGCCACCTCCTGAGAGCATACCAGATGCGATGAAGAGCCACCTCTTGCTGCGCGGACCTAAGGATGAAGCTCCCTGACACGCGCCACACCTCCATCCAGAAGGGGTGACAGCCGCCGGAGAGTCGCCAAGTCGTCGTTTTTTCGCTCCGCCGGGTGACAACCGCCGGAGACGACTCGACGACCCATTTCAGTGATCTCTAGATTTCTCAAGAAGATCTAGAGATTGCCCACGTCATCTTTGTGCAAGGAGAGCCTTCGAGGCCGTG